GGCTGTTGGCCGCATTTGTGAAGGATTTTATTAAAAACAACAACAACAACTATATTTAGGAACTCATCTCAGAAAAAAAAATCAGTATTTCCCCCAATCCTACAACTGCCACCCTAAGCTATTTCCACGTTAATCATTTCAAATGCCAGCAATTCTGGGGAGCCAGCCATCCTGCAGCCCCTAGTCTGGAGTGGTATATAGCTTGAGTAGAGAGTGAAGGAGAGCCTCACCCAACCCCCGCCGAATAGTAATGTTAATTAGATTTGTTAGGCCACTAAACATTTTAGAGCCGCTGTGGATTAAAACTCTGATGTACAAAACCTCCCAAGCCCGCTGGGATAAAGCTCCCGAATGGATTATGTTTCAGCGGTTAGGTTTAGGATGAAAACCAAGGGAGAAAGTTGCCAATAGGTATATATTTGCTTTAAGAAGTGGGTGAATGAAAGAGAGAATACGCAGGTCCAAAATAATTTATTTGTGTATTTGTGTGTCTGTTTTTTGGTTACAGTTCTCCGTTGATTTTAATTAAGCTTGTGAATATGGAGGGAAGTGGGGGAGGGGAAAAAGAGACCTTGTCTGTTTGACTGTTTTTTTTCCCAAGACTCAGTGGCTAAACTTATTCGCCTTGCTTCGGCAAATAGTCCCATTGGTTATAATGTGAGCAGGTTTTGATTTTATCATTTAAAAATATATTTTCTTCCTTTCCGTTACCGAAAGTTTTTAACTTCAAATATGATTAAGTTTAAAAACTAGACAATACGTTCTGCATTTATTGCACGGATGCTGAAGTTTAAAAGTCTGCATTAACGGAAAGTGCCTTCCTTGTATTACCAATAACATCTTAGCCTATTTAAAACGGAAAGAATGAAAACAATCCGATGTCTGTTGTCACTGGGCGCCGCACAGTTTCCGCTTCGCACTTTACTCAGCTGGGACAACGCAAACTACTTTTTATTTTCAGTCAGATGTCACTTTTCAGTATTATTTGTGTGTTTAGCTAATTTCCCTCCCCGGCTGGCGTGCACTAGCTGGCTGCTGCAATGGTTGGGTGGAAAGCGCTCTCAGAAACGGGAATGTTTGATCATTAAAAAAAATCTCTTTCCATTGACATTTTGTAATCCGATAATAGGAATATTTCTATTGATCTTGTGGTTGCAGAACTTGATTTTTTTTTTACACAAACTAAAACGGAGGCCACATTAGACCTGCCAATGTTCCTTCAAACACCTGTCGTTTACATATTGTGATCCACCTTCAGAGCTGTTACCTGCTGATTTGTCATCACACTGAACTCCTTGCTTTGTTTCAAAGAGCGTTAGTTAGCTAAAGCGTTAATTACATTGATCAGATCTGAGATTCCCCAACAGTCTTACATGGATCCCCTGCGAAACTTGTCATCGCAGTCGAACAGAATGCTGAAGCCGACCTTAGGACTCATTCACTGTTGCCGTGTTATAATTTCCTTCGGAACAACCAAGCAATAGCTCTCCAGTAATTTGCCCTGAATTCTTCCCTTCCATCCCCACCAAAGAGTTGGGCTATGATCCTCAGGGAGCTTTAATTCAGAGGGAAAGCTCAGAGATCTCCCACTGCACCCTTGTATCTGAAAGCAGGTTTTGTGGTAAGTACAGACGTGTTAAGGACGGATGCTGCATTTGTGCTCAAGAGGATTCAGTGCGATTTGGAGGATGCTGGGATTTTCCGACCTGCCCAGAGAAAGATGTAGTAGGACTATCTGCTTCCCTTGGGCGCTTCGAATTGATGCGATCTACAACAGCCTCTACTGGCCACCGCGAGAACCGCAGCACTCCGGGGACAGGAAGGCAGAGGCCTTGCTTGGCCATTACTCAAATACATCTCATTGCATAGGTGCTAGAACTAGGGGGTGCTGCAGCACACTGTGACGTGAAGTGATTTCTCCATTATATACAGGATTTACAGTTTGGTTCAATGGCTCTCAGCACTCCCACTAGAAACATTGTTTCAGCACCACTCTTTCACTGGGGATGATTTTTTATTTAAATTCTCCTTAAACAAATTGTGGCTCAAGATAAAAACGGTGAAGCAATTTTGACCAGTTCTCAGTATAATTGTGATAATGATCTACACTCTGCATTGCGCCATCTGGCTATTTCTCCTGATCTGTAGGAAAGGATTAGCTCCTTTTAATTTGGCTAGCCTTAATTTTCTATTTTCAACTCTCTTTCATTCAAATAGCTCAATATCCAAACCAGAGATAAGTCTTTTCCTCCCCAAATATCTGGTACAGACCAGCTCAGGGATCAAGAGAAGGAGGAGGTTGTTAACCTATGACCACTTATACTTTGTTTCCAAAGTTCACTTCTGCAAACCAGTAAAATATTCTCAAAATGTGCTCTTGGTAAATCCATGTGGCAAAAACATACTGTTTAAAACTTCTGCCTAGGAGTGGATTTCCTTGCTTTCCCCTTTGCTCCCTACACATACGGCCAAGCATACATGCTGCTGTTCCCCCTACATGACATGACAGAATGCATCTCCCCCTTCCTAAGTGTCAGGCCTTATAACACTTTTCACAGTAGTCCTTACCAGTGGGATAGGCTTGGTAAGGATTGAGACCTGCCTGAGTCACTGCCCATCCTCACTGAGTTGGCAAGGTGGGCCACTATGGGGAGGGCTTATTACACAAGTGCTAATTAATACAAAAAAGGCTTTTTTGTTTAGTTTTCCTGTTTCAGAAATATCATGTTTTAATGTACATATGATATAATCAGAGACAGCCATATGCTAGGATCTTCTGCTGTTCAATTAATGGGGAAGTGAGAGCGGCTGGTCTCATGGGAAAACAGACCCATTTCAGAGGCCCAGAAGGTCTTTTGGGGAAGCTTCAGAGGTTCTCTTTCTCTTGAAGAGGTCCTCTCTCCAGGAAAGATTATGCCCTTGCTCTGGCTAGAGGAACTGGTGGGTACTGTTCAAAGCTAATGTATAGTGCTTCCACAAAAGGAAGCTGTTTGCAGTGTCCAACAAGAATGAACTTTTTTTGGTCCTACTACCTGGCCCCTAAACAATGCTACATATTCTTAAGAGCCATCTCCTGGCATATTTTCTGTTAACTGACTATTGATATATATAGAGAGACACAACACTCTGGTAACAAACAAATTCCTCTTGCCAGTAGTTCCGCTGCTTGTACACTAATGGCCCTAATTTTAAGTCCCAGTTTTCCAAGGGATTTAGATCATACAATATATTTTCAAGGTTATTCTTCTATTGATATGTGACAAGATCATATGGCTAAGTGACATAATGCTAATGGGATGTACATGTGGTCAAGTCATTGCAAGCTTATATGAAAGCAGAACCTCTTTCATTTATACTATAAATAGAGGTGGGTGAATTGTAAAATATGACCCTCCCAGCTCCTCTCACGAGTACCCTGTAATAGGGATCTACTCTATGAGTAATATGGTGGCCATTTTTCTCTGTTACTCTGCGTATCCTCCAACATCCAAGCACAAGCATTGACATTTTCCAGCTGACTGACATTCAGTTAATCAGAGCAAATTTGTAAAGTGGTTGTATGACCCAAATATACTGTCTCTGCCAGATAAGAAGAAGAATATGGCCAACTGAACTGAAATTTTTCCTTTTATCTCACTCCCCTTCCCAAGAAACAATAATCTGACAGGGGATGGGCCTGGATGGGAAAAGTCTCCTCCAACCACTATTTTACTCTAGCAATTGAGTGAAGGACAGGCGTGCTCCCAAAGCAGGTTATTTGTAGTAGTTCGTCTTGTCACCTGTTAATCTCCCTTCTTAGTAAATTAAGTAATGTTAAGCAGTAACCTCTTAACATTGTGTAATCTTCGTATGAGCTCATTTCTGTGAGTTCTTCTCCCTGTGGGCAAATTCCCATCACCCTAGTATAGAGGCATTTTATTATTAGTTTTGGATTCTCCGTGGAAGACTGTCCTGAAACTTGATTTTCTGCTAAGTCACTATGTATAGCAGGGGTCGGCAACCTTTCAGAAGTGGTGTGCTGAGTCTTCATTTATTCACTCTAATTTAAGGTTTTGCATGCTAGTAATACATTTTAACGTTTTTAGAAGGTCTCTTTGTCTAAGTCTATATTATATAACTAAACTATTGTTGTATGTAAAGTAAATAAGGTTTTTAAAATGTTAAGAAGCTTCATTTAAAATTAAACTAAAATGCAGAGCCCCCTGGACCAGTAGCCAGGACCCGGGCAGTGTGAGTGCCACTGAAAATCAGCTCGCGTGCCACCTTCGGCACACGTGCCATAGGTTGCCTACCCCTGATGTATAGCTTTCTCCTGCTTGAATGTCTCTGAAGTTTAATACATTGAGATTGTTATAGGTTATATTCTATTTTATAGAATTTTTAGAAAAATCTCACCTCTCTCTCCAAATACCACCTTTGTTTTGTTTTCTCATTTTAAAACAGGAAATTCATTGCAAAAACAATATTAGCATGACTCATGCTGAGTAAAAGTAAATGTTAAATATTGACTTAGGGGGCTGGTGGGATTGTTTGAGTGTTTGAGGAGAGCATGATGAATAAGGATGGAGTCATGGATTCCAGAATTATGATGTTTTATTTAAAAAATGTCTATGACTTTTGACATTTTTAGAGTTTCATTGTGCTAGTAGTAAGTGAGGGAACAGGTGGCATAATGGAATGGATGCCAGTCAGATGAACTTTGATTAGAAATCCTGGGTAGAGTTTTAGGGTGCAGAGCAGACATTGTCTACAAAGAAAGCAACTCCTTCTGTGAACTTTTAGTCAAATAAAGATTTAGAGCTAAAATCACTGGTACACTTTGGCTTCTTTGCACATATCCAAAGACAGAAAACAGCCATAAACCTGTCTTAACTGGCTGATAAACATGGGTTTACAGCTGCTTTGCATTGTCAAAGTGATGCAAAGTAGTCTAGAGTGTTTTGGTGAATCTGCCACTTCATGTCTTAACTTATCTCCTGTTGTCTTCTCTATCTCATACCACAGGAACATCACTTCTCACAGATGGAGGGTCTAGAGAGGAATGAGTGGGGGATGTGGTCAGACTCAAAGATTTGGACAGGTGGAGTCATACTGGAGCCCTACACAAAAGACCTCCAAGGTAGTACTTGGCAACTAGCTGAAAGAAAATAAGAGATGACAATGAATTAGGGTGACCAGAGACCAAGTGTGAAAAACTGGGACAGAGGGTGGGGGGTAATAGGAGCCTATATAAGAAAAAGCCCCAAATATCGGGACTGTCCCTATAAAATCGGGACATCTGGTCACACTACAATGAATATTCATAATTTTTGCCACACTTTCAATGACTTGTGACACTGTTACCCTAGTTCCTCTCATTATTTAAAATTTACCATGAAAATAGGGAGCGAAGAGATCAAAGACAATATAGAAGGAAGAGAAAACAGAAAATCCAAGCAGTGGAGACACAAGAACAGAATGACAAAGAAAATGTATTCCATGAGACACAGTGTCTCTTAGTGGCCTCTGACAAGAAACACTGCCTCCAGGAATGAAGGTATTGGAGAATGACAAGAGTGGTGGGAGAAAATCAACTGTTTTGACCTAAGGTAAGGGGCAAAAATGGGATGCCGTCCTGCTTCAACATATCTCTGAAATGAACTCTGTTCTCTTTCCCCCTGTTTCTATATATAGATTGAACTAGCTTCTCCTTTCCACTTGGTCTTTGTTGTCACACTAGTATCTGCCCTGGTTCCTCTGTTTATTCCACTGTCTCTGCCCACTTTGTTCTTCTCTCTGTCCCTTTTTTCTTCATCCTTTACATCTCCATGTTCTGTTTTTCCTTCATCCCTCTTTTCTATTGTCTTCTCACCTCTTTCCCTTCCTCTTTGTCCCTCTCTGTGGTTTGTGTTAGTCCCATCTGCTCCATTTTCAGTTGTTTTTCTCTTCCACAGCTTTTCTGCCTCTTCATGGTTGATACTGCCTTCTCCCCTGCCCCTGTTGAATCTTCTCTCTTTTCCCCTTCCAGATCACTCTCTCAATTAGCTGGTTGTAGGCCAACAGTGTGAGAATCTGTCACATGCAGCATTATGAAATTGGCATATATTACATTACAGTGTTTGTGTGACATTGCACTTGGAGCCTTTAGGTTTGAATAAATTAGAAATTCAGGGGTTGCAAATCCAGTGAACTGAACCAACTAGTTCTGATTTCCTGAAACAGAGCTGGTAGGTTTAGCTACATTCCACTCATATAGGTAGGTAGGTACTAGTCATAAGCAAAAATACACATGGCATTTAACTAGCTGTGGCCTTCAGTTTTTTACCAGTATCTTATAATACAGTTATACACATTATATTCATCCACCTGAGGGTCCATCCTACAATAGCACACAATCCATAATTCATGAGCTAGTTGTGGTTATTTTGCATAGCAAATCAATTTCTGCATATATGGTGTTTGTTTTTATTTCTTGGCTATTTCTGCTCTCTTAGTGTTGATTTAAGTAATTGACAGAAAAACAAATTAATCTATTTCTACCAAAGAAGGAAATGGAATTAGGGGAACTATGGAAAGCTCCATTTGCTAAACACTACTTGCTGCCATCTATAACTTTGTAAAAGAGGAAACTTGTGCTCAGGATATCTGTTTGGGATACACCAGCTACCTTCTTGGTTAGAAATCAGCACTGATCATGCCGGTTGTCCTCAGTTTCAGTAGATAAATTTGGAAGACCAAAACAGCTTTTCATAGCTAGAGATTACAGGCTTTCAATTAGCTAAAAATTAAAGGCCAATATTTTCAAATGTGTATGCCTAAAGTTAGACATCTACATCTGTGTTTAGGCACCTGAATGAATGTTGTCAGACTTTCAGAGATGCAAGCACCAGCTGTGCTGAAGAGAGAGAATACTGAAGGGAAAAGAGATACACTGAAGACCAAGGTAGAATCAGAAAAGTGGTTTGAAGAGAAAGGAGTGATGTCTGTCTATCTTTGTAGGCATTTGTGCAATGCTTATTACTAGGGTGGGTGAGCATGGTGTCTGAGATGTAAGAAGAATGGACAGAGAAAAAAATGAAGTGAACATTTAAAAAAGTATTCAACTGAAAAAATGGACTAAATGAACTCAGACATTGAGAAGACAAAGAAAACATGCCAAAATAGAATACTATGAAGTGAAATTCCAGGTGTGAACCCAACATAAATGGAAGCTGGAGCAAATGTTCAGATAAATCCCTGGGAAGAGAAATCACCTAATACTGCAGAACTCTGTTGTAAAGCCTATTTCCTTCTGGGGCCCCAAGACAAGGAGTTAGATTTTTTTCTTAGTCAAAGTACAGTTCTACTCTGAAAAATGATTTTGTAAACTAGCATCATCATCTTATTCCATAAATCTGCTCCCCATTCAGAGACCTATCTACTTATTTTAGTGGCAAAAATAAGTTTTTACTCCTGTTATCAGTACAGAAAACAGATACCGTCTGAGAGAGTGTGCTGGATTCTTTTCCAGCTTGTGCATCACAACAGAATTGTTAACTGAGTTCTAACTGTAGCGCCAATCCCTTCCAACTGAGTGTTGACAAAGGTATTTCATAGATGTAATGGAAGATAGATTATGGCTGCAGAATCTTTTTTACTGGTGTTGATGAGCAGGAAAGAAAGTTGCAGCTTGGCTTTCCAACCTCAAACTGAGTTTGAAGGATTGGCAGTTAGAAAAAAGCATATTTTTATAGAAAACTGAACAAATGCAAACTAGAAGTCACTGAGGGAAATAAATATCACTCTTCCAAGTAGAATAACACTTTAGAATTTTGGGGGAAAATCCATTAGAATTACAACATGCCTTCATTGACAGGTATATATTTTTTACACCCAGATAGTAGTCATTATTAGCATTTCAGTTAAAAAAGTCTCCATGTTGCAGGACTACCTTTTTAATTACTTTGGATGTTGGAGATAATAAAATGAAAAATTTTACTCAGCTATGCCCTGTAATAAATGAAAGCATATAATACGTATTTTTTAAAAAAGCTAATTGTATAGTTGGGTTCATTCAGGTTACAAGTTCAGTGTAGAAATTTTTATCCTGAAGAAGGTTAGCTATCTTTATAGAGCCAGTTTACCCATTGTAATAGCCCATTAATGTATTTTTTGACTATTGTATAGTTTTTAAGTTTCTTTATCCTGTAATCACTTGCTTCCCCACTATTTTATGTGTCTTGCTTGTTTCAGATTCCAGGCAAAGAAGGTTGCTGAGGTAATACAATGAGATAATGACCTGCATTGGAGTATGGAAGGACAAGATTGACTACCACCTACATCAATAATTATATATGCATTGGTTTCCACAGTTGGATCCAGAATAAATCATTTACAACATTGCCTTGGAATAACATTGTCTTCAGAAGCAAGCAAGTACCTTAGGTGAACTTGTTTACCTATTATCACTGGATGAACAGATAGGTTAGAAACCTGAGCTAACAGTGCTTATGTCTGTTGAGCCACATTTGATCATTGTACCAGATCCCTGTGTCAAGTCAAGCTGCACTTGGCACAGGGCCTAAGAAAAGGGAAAGGTTTCTCTAAGCCCCTTTTCCACTCCCCTGATCCTGCAGCTGGTTCAACCTCTGGCATAATTTTGGGAGGGTACTTTGCACTTATACATATCACCTTCTAGTCCAGGATCTGAGAGCACTTTACAAGTATTAATGAATTTAGTTTCACAGCACCCCTGTGAGGTAGCGATATAAGTGACTTGCCCAAGGTCATCTGAGAAATATGTGGGAGAAGAATAGAGTAAATCCTGCTCTCTGAAGTATTGCTCCTACCTCTTAATCATGAGATCTTCCCTCCCCCAAAGTTCAGTTTGGTGGACCCCCTTCAAATGTTTGTATTAAGACCTATGTGGGTCAGGTCTCATTTTTCTGTGGCTCCCCTCTGAAAATTGATATTTTGTTGAAAGGATGAACGAGCTTATGCCCTTAGGGGCAAGCCTTTCCCCTGCCTATTTGGTTGAAGTACTCCCTTAACAGCAGAACCAGTGCAGTTTTGCTGCCTGTAGAAGCAGAATTTTGCGGGGTGCAATGTGGATAGAGAGCACAACTCCATGTTACATACAGATCAGTCTCTGAGAGTCTCCTGCCTGCAGTGCATAGGGGGCTGATGGAAAAGGGGCATAAGTGAGAAGGGGCAGGGTGAGCCAAGGGATCCACATCTGCATGAATCTTTCCATCCTCCTTCTCATGGAGGCTGCTTATATGGTTGGGGAACCTACTCCAGTATTAGCATAGTCATCACAGAATTACTATGAAACCACGTCTTGGCCTGCAAAGATTTGCCTTTCTCTGCAATCTGTCCAGGGCTCAACTAGAACGGGCAATGGGCAGGGCCAGGGCCTGCTCCAGGCACCAGCTTAACAAGCAGGTGCTTGGGGCGGCCAAGGGAGAGGGGCGGCACCTGCGGCAATTCAGGGGCGGCAGGTCCCTCACTCCCTCTAGGAGCGAAGGACCTGCCGCTGAACTGCCGCCGCCGATTGCGATCGCGGCTTCTTTTTTTTGCTTGGGGTGGCAGAAATGCTGGAGCCGGCCCTGAGCAGGGCATGTGACTTCAAAGAAAGCAAGGTTTTGCACCCAGCCTCTGATGCTTGCCCTGAAAAAAACCCATAATGTATTCATATGGTTTTTTAAAAAATGCATTTCAGTTCTGTTATAATAAAATGTGTATTTGTGGAATACGAATACTCCATCCTGTTAGGGACTACCAAAAGTACCACCCAGAAACATCACATTGAGGTAGCAGACAAATATTACATACATCCCTACCCCACCTCACTACAAAAGAAACATGCCGTAGAGGATCATACACAACCATGAATTAGAATGACCAGCCATTTCAGACAAATACAGTCCAGACAAGACAAAATGGGCAAGAAAGAAGATTGGAAGGCTTTACCAGTTAGTTGCTTGAGAACTCTGACTTCTGGAGGAACTGTTTAATGAACTTTTGATACAATGCTTTCTGTGACTTGTTCCTTCCAAAGGACGAGACCTAGCTGAATATGCAGTCCTTTGAGTTGATTTCTCTCATTTTTCTTTGTCTGAATTATTCATAGAACACCCTGTATTTATTGCAAATGGCCATAAACAAATGACTTTCCCTTTGTCTCTTTTTACTCATGATTTCTTTATGCAGGTTGAAAATATTTCCCTATGATGTTTATTTATTTTGCTTTTCTTTATATCCAATTAGACTGTTTTCGTGATGGCTCAGAGATGAAAATGGCAGTGCCTGTCTTGCATGCAGCTCTGTTTCTGTTCAGTTTCATTTCCCTCAGGGTCACTGATGGGTTATGATATGCAGTAATGTCCCCGATGAGGTGTTGTTTCCATTAGCTTTCCCCTTCAGAGGTCTGAATTCTTATATATGATTTGTTTTCTTGGCTACCTAGGAAATAATGTTCAGTTTTCAGCCCTCTTCTGTGCAGATGGTGAACTCGCTATTTGCAAGAATTGCTTCCTTCCCTTTTAAAGAGGCTGCTGTTACGCCTGTTTAAAAAAAGCACAGTGGTCTGGTGGATGATTTTTCTAATTAGCATTCAGTACTATTTATCCTCCAGAACACAATGCATTTATATGTATTTATACATCTTATTAAGAAAATAAGAAAAAAATCATAAGAAAATAAGAATGGCCATATTGAGTCAGACCAATGGCCCATCTAGCTCAGCATCCTGTCTTCGAACAGTGGCTGGTGCCAGATGCTTCAGAGGTAATGCACAGAACAGGGCAATTTATCTAGTGATCCATCCCGTTGTCCAACCCCAGCTTCTGATAGTCAGAGGTTTAGGGATACCTAGAGCATGGAGTTGCATACCTGACCATCTAGGCTAATAGCCATTGATGACCCCTATCCTCCATGAACTTATCTAATTCTTTTCAGAACCCAGAAATATGTCTGGCCTTTTCAACATCCCCTGGCAACGAGTTCCACAGGTTGACTGTGCGTTGTGTGAAGAAGTACTTCCTTGTGTTTGTTTTAAACCTGCTTCCTATTAATTTCATTGCATGACTCCTGGTTCTTGCGTTATGTGAAGGGGGAAATAACACTTCCCTATTCACTTTCTCCACCATTCATGGTTTTATAGATCTCTATTATATCCCCCCCTTAGTAATCTTTTTTCTAAGCTGAACAGTCCCAGTCATTTTAATTTCTCCTCGTATGGAAGCTGTTCCATACTCCTAATAATTTTTATTGCCCTTCTCTGTACTTTTTCCAATTCTATTATATCTTTTTGAGATGGAGCGACCAGAACTGCACACAGTATTCAAGGTGTGGACGTATCATGGATGTGTATAGTGGCATTATGAGATTCTATATTTTATCTATCCCTTTCCCAATAGTTCCTAACATTCTGTTAGCTTTTTTGACTGTCACTGCACATTGAGCAGATGTTTTCTGAGAACTAACTGCAATGACTCCAAGACCTTTCTTGAGTAGTAACAGCTAATTTAGGCCCCATCATTTTATATGTACAGTTGGGATTATGTTTTCCAATGTACATTACTTTGCATTTATTGAATTTAATCTGCCATTTTGTTGCCCACTCACTCAGTTTTGTGAATTGCCTCTGTAATTCTTCATAGTCAGCTTTGGACTTAAATTACTCAAGATAGTTTGTATCAGCTGCAAACACTGCCACATCACTGTTTACCCCTTTCTGTAGATCATTTGTGAATATGTTGAACAGCACTGGTCCAAGTACAGATCCTTGGGGGACTCGCTATTCACCTTTCACCACTGTGAAAACTGACTATTTATTCCTACCTTTTGTTTTCTATCTTTTAACCAGTTACTGATCTATGAGAGAACCTTCCCTCTTATCCAATGACTGCCTACTTTACTTAAGAGCATTTGGTGAGGGACCATTTCAAAGACATTTTGAAAGTCCAAGTATACTGTATCTACTGGATCACTCTGGTCCACATGTTTGTTGACCTCCTCAAAGAATTCTAACAGATTGGTGAGGCATGAAAGCTGTGTTGACTCTTCCCCAGCATATTGTGTTCATCTATGTGTCTGATAATTCTGTTCTTTATTATAGTTTCAACCAATTTGCCTAGTACTGAAGTTAGGGTTACCAGCCTGTAATCACCAGGATCCCCTCTGGAGCCTTTTTAAAAAATCAGTGTTACATTAGCTGTCCACCAGTCATGTGGTACAGAGGCTGATTTAAGTTTTAGGTTACATAACACAGGTAGTAGTTCTGCAATTTCATATTTGAGTTCCTTCAGAACTCTTGGGTGAATACCATCTGGTCCTGGTGAGTTATTACTAATTATTAATTAGTTTTTAATTATTATTAATTATTATTAATTTATCAGTTTGTTCCAAAACCTCCTCTATTGATACTTCAATCTGTGACAGTTGCTCAGATTGTCACTTAAAAGATTGGCTCAGGTGTGGGAATCTCCTTCACATCCTTTGCAGTGAAGACCGATACAAAGTCATTTTTGGCCTGCCACACATTTATACTTGACTTGCTCAGGGCTAGCTCCAGCTTTTCTGCCGCCCCAAGTGGCAAAAAAATAAAAAAATAAAGCCAATCAGTGGCAGCTCAATCGCACCGCTTCATTCTTCAGCGGGTCCTTCACTCCCTCTCTTCCTCTGCGGCGGCAGCTCAAAGAGGAAGAGGGACTGAGGGACATGCCGCCGAATTCCCGCTGAAGACCCGGAGGTGCCGCCCAATACCGGACGGAGTGCCGCCCCTTTGTATTGGCTGCCCCAAGTACCTGCTTCCTTCGCTGGTGCCTGGAGCTGGCCCTGGACTTGCTAGAGTTTATACTCCTTTCTAGTTTCCTCACTAAGATTTGATTCCAATTTTTAAAAGATGTCGTTTTGTCTCTAACCACCTTTTTTATTCTGTTGTTTAGCCATGAAGGCTATTTTTTTTTGGTTCACCCACTGTTTTTTTATTTGGGATAACCCATTGTCATGTGTTTAAAATGTTTCCATGCAGCTTGTAGGCATTTCACGCTTGTGACTGGTCTTTTTAATTTCCATTAACTATCCTCCTCATTTTTATTTAGTTCCTCTTTTTTAAGTTAAATGCTACTGTGGTGGGTTTCTTTGGTATTCCCTCCCCTATAAGGATGTTAAATTTTATTAGATTATGGTCACGCTTACAGCTATATTCACCCCTTGGACAAGATCCTGTGCACCACTTAGAACTAAATCAAGAATTACCCCCTGTGGATTCCAGGACTAGCTGTTCCAAGAAGCAATAATTAATGGTGTCTAGAAATTTTATCTCTGCATTGCATCCTGAGGTGACATGTGCCCCATCAATATGGAAATAGTGGAAATTCCCCATTATTATTGGGTTTTCTGTTTTTGTAGCCTCTCTAATCCCCCCAGAGCATTTCACA